ACCATAGTGATCAGTTTCATGTCGGACTTAAAATGCTTCGGGACGTGTTTACACGTCTTTTTACTGGAAGAATAAATTCACAGTTAAAAAAGGTAAACGTAAATAAAGAAAACAATAATTTGGGTTTAGCTCCAGTATCTACAATGGAGATAACATATTTTTTTATTATTATTATTATGAAAATAAAGTCATAATATGAGAATAAAGTTGTAATATGTGAATAAAGTTGTAATATTATGAGAATAAAGTCAGTGTTTGGTGACCTGAAGAATGCTGGAACAATTTATTCACTTAGTAGAATGATTAAAAGTTTTTTTAATGAGATATGAACAAAGATTTTGTTGATATTTGTATTTTTATCATTTTAAATTATATTGTGTATTAAGTTGAGCTTTATTATTTGTATGTTGTACATTTTTTACATACATATTTTTTATTGGGGCAGATGTTATAAGATTTTATTCTTCTTTCTGCTCCTTTTCATTTGAATATGTTGTGATCGTGTTTTTTTGACACAGCATTGTCTAATTATTTGTTTGTTTCTATTATTATTTTTTTTCTTATTATTTATTTATTTTTGTTATTTGTTTGCTGAATTAAATAAAGTTATTTTTCCCCTCATACCCTCTGTGTACAGCCACGTTTCTCTGTGTTTATAAAGTAGTCATGATGACCTGATCACTGTTAGATTAAAATGATTTCTTCCAAATTAACTATGGGACGACTAAATCTGTCAATGCACCTATTAATAACAATACAGCTTCAGTTTATCATATAGTCGTTTGCACAATTTCCATGTTCTGCTACTGATAATTGGTGCTAAAAGATAACTATTTATTTATAAACAATAAAGAACAACTTGACAACATCCTCATTTTAATGCAGTGATGACTGCATGCTTTTTCACGTAAAGGCTAGGACATTATGACTTTTTTCTTGTAGTATGACTTTAATCTCGTAATATTACGATTTTATACTCATAATATTATGACTTTATTCTCGTAATGTTATGATTTTATTCTTATAATACTTTATTCTCGTAATTTTTAGTTGCATTTTCTTTTATTTAACATCTTGTTGCAGCATAAATTTCATCAGTTAAATTGTTAAACTTACTTTTAAAAAACAAATCCTTCGGTCCGTGGTGAATTTCCAAACTGCRCCGACACGTTAAAAAAATAAAAACACCACC